AAAATTGAGCCCCCCCCCCCCCCCCCAACATAATTAAGCAGCTAATTCCCACCAACATTAATCAGCACATGACCAGGTAGAACTTCTGTGCCTCAAAAGAGTGTTAGAATAATCACTGTGAGAGCTGAACGACCCAAGAAGAACATCAGTTGAGAGCCTATAGTGATTTTTTTCAATAGCTAGTTATGATAAGGCAGAAAGCCCTCAAAATCTGGGGAAGGTCAAGGCCAAATCTGACTTTTGGATTCTTACAGAGTTCAGAGGGAATGAACACCAAAAGACAGTAAGGTGGGATTTTGGCCACACAGAGAGACAACAAGGAATTTCCATCTCTCTCAACTTTAGAAAATGAACACAGCTAACAAGACAAGCAGAGGTTCCTTCAGGGTGACTCAGACCTAAATTACTGTCTTTCTCTGAAATGCACATCTCTCTGCATTGACTCAGGAAGGGCTCGCGGAGATAAGGTGAGTTACATTCCAGGGATGACTGCACTAGCAAGTGTTGTATTTTGTCTCAATCAGTAAAAATGAAATAGCAGCAACTATACTGGTAACTGTTTGCTGACCATAAAGGCAGCTCAGTTCTTCAGATATAGACATTACACACGGGACGCTTGTCAGATCAAGTGATCAATTAGTCGGGTCAATCCCACCTCACAAGCCTAGAGTACCTCTGAACAAGTCACCTCAAGAAGTCTTTATAATCAATAGGGAGAAATATGCAATATGATTCACTTAATCCCAGAGGAAATGTTTAAACAGGTCAAATGAATCATACTTGCATTGACTGGCAGGATCTCGGGTTGAAGATCTGCATTCTAGATGTCTAGAGTTGGCTGGAATGAATACCATGTACATGTCTGAAGTTGTGTGTTCATTATTTACAAAAAGCAATTGACAGTTGTACAGAGAATATCTGGCCTTTGAGTTCAGTGACCTCCAAACAGAAGTGAGGACAGGAATTTTGTCTAAACATTTATATCCCTGATAGCTTTGCAATGTTGGTTTCAGTATAGAATTAGAGGAAAGGGGCTATTAAGTTCTTATGTTATCACAGGTGAGCTGAATCTCTAATTTCAGTATGAAGTTATGCTAGCTGACATGACTCCATGGTCATATTATATATACTGTGCTTAGACATCTGTAAGACAATGGGAAAAACTTGCAATATTGTGGTTTTATCTCAACAGGTGATGTTTCTCCTCCTCCTTCTACTGTAGTTGGACATACCAAAACCTTAGCTAAAGTTACGTTCAATCCCAGTGTTGTCGAGCAGACCAGGATTGCCCGAAATGGCATTTTGGGAGACTTCATAATTAGATATGATGTCAGCAGGGAGCTGAGTGTTGGGGATGTTCAGGTACTGTGCACATGACTCATCTTTTCTGCTTTATAAACTATACCCTGAGAGGGTTCTATTGTCTTGCATGCTCCAAATGTCCTAGGAAATATTTTCCAAGTGAAGGCTACTTCTCCATCTTGCAAGAACTATCCCAAATAAAACAAGCCAGCTGGCAGCCACAAGATGGACTTAAAACTGCAAGTACCTACTTCACTAAGTTGATACTTTTTTTGTATCTGCTTTGCAGATTTTCAATATTCTGGCTGTATATATCTGGATAGAAGGCCAGTTCCCCAAATGCATGTTGTGTTTCTGGTCCCTGGGTACATACGTTATACCCTTACTGCATTTGGAAGGAAACCCCAATGTCCACCGTGGAAGGAGATGTGGAGACCTCCAGTAGGCTCCCCGAGTCTGGATAAACAGGGGGCCAGGATTAAGAGGGATACCAGGGAGCACTCATATCCTCCAATGTAGACACAGACATTGGATGCAGGATCAGGTGTGCCCAGTCGTGATCCCATAATGATGTGTGTGGAACATTGCAGCATGATCTGCCTTTTATTCCTGACTTCCTTGCTCTTCCACAGATTCTTAACGGGTATTTTGTGCACTACTTCGCCCCCACGGATCTTCCTCCATTGCCAAAGAATGTTGTATTTGTGCTTGACAGTAGTGCTTCCATGGTGGGAACAAAGCTCAAACAGGTGAGGTCCTTGCATTTATTCTGGCTGTAAGGTTGTAGAGAGCTTGGTTCAGACTTCATCTCACCAGATGGGTTCTTCTGCAAGATGTTTGCTATGTCTGAGGTGAGATGAGGCTCTGGAAAAACCTTAGGGCAAGATGATTTATCTGCAATGAGAAATTATCATGTTAGTGGGAGTGGAATGGGAACAAGAAGTGCAGAGGACTTAATCACTCTGTACAAAAGGTCAGTGGTGTCAAAATTGAGCTAGGATGCTGCAGATAGGACTGTCCTGGGCAGTTCTGTTCTGGGAGATCTGAAGAGAGGCAGAATAGGGAGAATTCCCCAAAAAATGCATGCAGCAGATCATTGTATCCAGCTTAACAGCAGAAAAAAAATACTGCTTTATTTAAATTACCTTGGCAAAACTCTTAGCAATATATAACTCAATGGATTCTGTTGAAAGAAAGATCAGTTTGTCCTGTTTGAGAATCTGAGTCTTTCAGCACAAATCTTAAACTTTTTTCCAGGGCATAGATCTTGACATGAACCAACATACCAATCTGAAGGGCACATCACCAGTGCTTAAAATTGACCTTTGACATGGAGGGTTCAGGCTGGTGCCTAGACATTTTTACTGCTTCGATTCTCTGAGTTGGACAGTGGAAAGTGACACTTTCCACATAGGTTGATAACAATATGGGGTAGTTTCAGCTCATACGGATGGTGTGATGTTGTAACTCTACTGGAATGACTGAAGGCCAATGGCTTGGATTTGTATCTTGACCAGTTAAGGAGCTCTCATTAGTCCATTCAGACTCCTTGGTTGCCTGCCTGGAACATGCTGATATTACTGGAAAGTGTGATTATTTGAGAGCCTTTTTTTTCCTTGCCAAACAGCACTAGCCCAAATGTCCTTGAAAACACAAACCATGGTCATTCTCTGACAGTTCTCTGTCTTTGAACAAGGACATTGGGGTATATATGCCTTTCTCTCTCTGCAGGAAAAACTTTACGGTCTGGTTTCAATGGTGATCATAAGTTCTAATTTAGAAGCTGTGTTCCCTATTAAATTAAATTATCTCCACTGTGAGCTAAAATGGAGTATGATTTTTATGGCTCCTAATTATCTTCCCCAGTGACTGGAATAGCAAACAGAGAGTTGTTAACAAACATAACTAGTACTGTGCTGAATGAGATCTTGAATGAAGATGTCTTTGAAACTTTACAAATTCCTGTGGACAGAGCTTGGCTCTTGGCCTTCTGTTATCCTGCATGCCGAAAAATGTCTGTCTTGTCTCGCAGAATAATCAGATACTGTACAAATGGACCCAGTCCTGCATGCTGAAAGCAGACAGTCAGCAACACAGTGCTGAATCAGGGAGATTAAGACTGTGAAGGGCTTTGGTGGTAGTGTGAGCTGTGAGAGTGGTGCCTTGGATCAACAGATTAACCTTGTACTATGAAAGCTTTTATTCTCCTCCTGACCGTATTAGTGTTTCTTTTTCATATACTTACTAGAAAAAACATGGCCAGGGATTAACCCTTGAAGGTCTACTTCATAGCCTAGCCAGCTCCTACTGCTAAATGTACATGAATGTCAGGCTAATTAGCTACAAAGAGATGCCTCTTGAGCCTGAAGTGAGAGCAATGTCTAGCCAGAACCTTTGTTGTGGGTGTACTCAATTTTTTGCCCTGTTATCTCAGATATACTCTTTTTATGGATAGCCAGTGGTACATTACAGAGAAGTGCTATGATCTTCCTCTGATTTCAACTGCTCTGGAAAATGGAATTTCATGGATTTATGACCTAAATCATAAAAACCCCACACAGATTAATTAAGGAAAGACCAAAACCTAGGACTGGATGAATAATATATTCTCTTTTGGTACACTAAAAATGTGTGATCAGTTACAGCCATTGTCCATGTTTGCTCAGTGGCCTGTTTACCCAATTGTTGTTGTTATTTATGTTTGTTGAATTACAGACGTGTCCCTTGGTGGCAGGATCCATCTGAGCAGAGGAAATGCCTCCTTTTCTTCTTTTCTCTCAGACTCTTGCAGCTGTGGTGATCTATGGTCGTGTGTAGAGAGCTGGGAATTCCCATGGGACTGCCTTTCCTCATTTCTCTCTGCTGAGTCACATGCATGATCAGCTAAAAATACCCTCAGCACTTGTAAAGAGTGCTTTCACAGGTCAGCTGAGGTAACTATGGCAAAGGACAGGTTTTAGGGTTTTATAAGCAAGGATGAGAGCCATCAGCTCTGCACCCTTTTCTATAACTCGAAGAGATTTTGTACTGTTCATTCAACTGCTTTAATAAAGTTAATGTTAGTGACTCAAATGGGGTCAGGGTTTTATGCACACTGCCGTTCCCACAATCTAATTTTGAGTAATTTCTTCTTTTCCTCTCCCAAGGTTTTCATTTTCCTACATGATTTTTTATCTGTTTGTGCCATCCCTTTCTTACTAAAATACCTCAGTTTTTGAAGCAACAAGATGTACAGACCCAGTTGCAAACACATATAATGAGATTGGTTGTTCACCTTAAATTATTAATACTCTTGAGATATTTCCCTCACATCACTGAAACATATATTAGCTTTGTGGGGAAGATCAGCTCATGTACATATTCCTCCTGCAGTTTTCACAGCCTCTGAACTCCGGTAATGTCTAACAGACTCAACTGTGTTATAGCAGTGCACCTCCACTGAGGATTTGGGCCTTTGTGACGTTCACCTCCTAGCACTGGCAGGAGATAAAGGTCAGGAAAAGGAAACTCTTGAGCATCATGATAAAAAAAAAAATTAATGTGTTCAAGACTTTGCACGTCATTACTGCTGTCCCACTGGCAAGGAAAATAGTTTTTTTGTCCTCACGATCTTTGCTGCTTCATTTGCGAAGAGACAGTAAGCTCTGTGCAGAATAGTTGCTTTTAACAGGAGCCAGAAGTGCCTGGGGAACAGGTTATATCTGCAAGGTTTACTGGGAAACAAAATTATTTGCCCTTTGAGCACTCTGACGTGCTGATTTTTATGGTACCTTTGGCTTTAGAAGTGGAGGGGGACATAGCAGTTTTACATTGGCATAACTAGGAGAAAGAGGGACCAGTTATAGGTTCACCACCTTGTGATTATCGTGATTATCCCCAGCTTCACTAAACATGGTGAAAAAGGACCTTTATCAGCCTGCAATTCAGTGTTATAGAACAAGCATGTTCCAAGCTATGAATGTATCCACGCAAGGATGGATTTGCAAATGTTTTGCAGAGATGCGGTAAAACGTAGTTGTTTCAACCACAGATTCGTTTCACCTTACTTTTCCCACAGGAAATAAGTGCCCACACACTCAACGCCGCAAGCCTGGCAACTCGTCAATGGTAGTGTGCCAGACTGTAATTTTCTTTGAGGTTAATTGCACTAGGAAGAACTCGACTGAAGCTGGGACCTGCTGTGTATTTGCAAGTGCTTCAGTTTATTTGCCTGCATCCATCCAAGGGCCACTGTTGGTACCCTTGATCTGTGACCCACACTGTCTAAACCCTTCTGAGGACCCAAGTGCCTTACATACACATATCTTTAAACCTCTGTGCCTCAATACGCATACTCCCTCTGAGTAGTTTCTGAGGGGGGAGAGAGTAGACAAGCAGACAAGCACCTGAACACTCAGTGTTCTCACTCCAAACTCCACTGACTTCTGTTGCTTGCTGCAGAGCTGGCTGCGAGCCTGTTGACTACTAGTCCAAACAACAGCTGCTGTCCAGGAGAACTACCTTAAAACATCATGGGACTTTGGAAAAAATGTTAATTCCAATTACAGCCTTTAGTGAGTTTAAAGCTACAATGAAGGGGAAAGATTTGTCAGCTTTTCCATTTCTATTGGAAAAAAAACAGCCTGAGTGAATGCAGAACTGTATGCAGTGTTTTGAGCACTGACTAGGACTACTGCATTGATGCAGCTGCCTCTTAGTCAGGAATATACACCAGCAGTGTTATCTCAGTCTTCCCTGTAGATGTGACTGTGGAATATAGGAACTATCACAGTCAATAGGATGTCAGATCCATATAGACTTTAATTGCTTGGCTTCCAAGAACGATGCAAGTACTTGTCATGCAGCAAAATAATCTACCTCCCCCAAACCCTAAAATTTATAAATAATGACAGGGTCAAACAGAGAAACAAGTTACCTTCAGAGCAAGATGCCCTCAGCTGTTCAGGACAGGGAGAATCTGCTTCTGGTCTCAGGACTAACAGCCAACACACCCCCAGCTGATTTGCTCCATGCTGAGGCAGCAGAAGTAGAGACAGGATTTCCCAGGAAGACCACAGCCCACCTATAAATGGCAAGTCCTTAATTGGGTTCAGAGTAAGTAGGATACAAAGGCAAGTGCAGAGTTTGGCATGGAAATGTTGCCGAGGCTTGAACTGAAACCCCATGAAGATACTGGGAGTTCTCCTAAGGCTTTCAATGGGACCTTTGCTGAATTTATTAAAGAATGAACTGAAAACAGGTGCTACTGAAGTGGCAGACACAGCCCAGTGATCACCAGACAAGCCCATAGTGAAAAAGAAGGGGCTAAATCAAGCTGGGAAGTCAGTCCGTGGATCAGGGTCTTTGAGGTCTATGACCAGACATAGCTGTCACAAAGCTAGAGACAGCTACAGCATGGCTCTTGGTCTTACACTCAGACTAGGGCTGAGGGCCCAGACTGGAGCTTAAATGGGCAGGAGTGTGGGTGGAGGCCCCAGGAGGGGCTGGTCAAAACATTAAAGCCTGCTAGTATGCTCAAGGCCCTGGCATACACATGCAAGTCTAGGAAGCTAGAGATCTGGGTTTCTTTAGTAGTCCTTTCCAAGCTGGAATTGTATTTTTTCCAGTTTTTGGAGCAATACCTGGAAGCTAGACCTGGCTTCTATTCATGTTTCCATCATGGATCAGTTATGTGAACTTAGGTAGGTTATTTTCTTTGTCTGTGCTTGTTTCTTTGCAAAGTCTTGTCTGTTTAGCTGCTAAACCCATG